AAGAGCACGAATCAATGACAAACTTGAACTGGTTGTTGTCGAGTTTGAGCAGAGCTATCAGCTGGTTAGCTAATGTTCAGAGATCACACCCTTTCTTGACTTACCTGGGAAGCAGTGTAGGTTGATGGCTCGCAGCAGGTTGAAGAATTCAACGCGGTGCTCGGGGAATTCTGAAAAGTCCTTGTTGATCATCTCCAGGGTGCACTCAAAGACGTTCTCCATGATTGTGGGAACCTGATCCTCCATCAAGGCCTATTACGGTGTTAGCTCTGGATCGAGGACAAGACGATTTGGGAGGATGACATACCCCAAGCTTGGTGATGATGGTTGACATAGCCTTGAGGACTTCGGCATCACGGGCTCCTGGAACGTTGCGGTTGTAGTCAACAAGAACTGAATCCAACAATGGCGGCACCATCTGAGCCCTGACAGCCTGCAAGTCTTCGGCCTTCTCAACGTAGGTCTCAATCAACTTGAGAATCTCCTTCTTGATCGTGCGCAGGCCGCGAACCTTGGGCATCTTTGTCGCCAGGTCACCTGTAGGTTATAAGATTAGTGCCCATCTTTTGACAAGGGAGGAACAGAAGGGGAAACCAGCTTGGTCACATACCATCTCGTGCAACGGCCTCGGAGATGAGCGAGCTCGTGGCTCGATACATCTGCAGCATGTCGTGATAGATTCGACCAATCTGCGGATAAAAGTAGGGACCGGTTGAAGAACAAGCGGAAACGTTGGTCTTCATGATGTTTCCGATAACCTTGATCGTCTCCGCGTCTTGAAGAATCGAGGGATTGATGTTGGCCTGCTTGATAATCTCGTCCCAGGCAGCATTAGGGATGTTCATCAGCTCAGCAAGCAGTCTCTCCTGTTGACTCTTGTTGCCCTGAGCGGCCACCATGTATCCACAAGCCTCGTAGAAAGTGTGAACCTGCTGAGGAGTGAGATCGCAGGTGATCTTGCCCATGTTGCGCACAATCTCCTCAATGAACGGCTCCGACTCGCTAGGCTGGAGCGCAACAAAGTGACGGCGGCATTGCCTTGCAATCTTAATGAATGTATCGCATGCCATATCCTGAACACCTGCTCAACTCGTTAGCACAAAGGGAAAAAGAGGGCAAAACATGAAAAGGAGTGAAACTGTACCTTCGTGCGATTCATGCATGAATTCGAAAAGCTTGTTGACGACCGTCTTGAGGAACTTCCAGTGAGCTTTAAGAAAACGCGGGTATTGCCCAACAATGTACATGATGTTACTGGCGACAACAGCCTTGTTGTCCTTGCCACGCTTCATCTCGGTGAGGCCTAGAAGATCCTTAATGACGGTAACCAGGAATCGCTTCTCCGTTTCCTCATTCATGGCGAGGGAGATGGAGCCAATGGCCCAGCAAAGAACGTTGCAGTTGTGCCATGACCACTCGGAGCCATCCACTTGTCGAGCCAGCTTCTCCGTCATGATGTTCTCGGTATCGACCACGTCCAGATGGGTAAGGTAGACCAAGCATTCCCTGATGGTCTTGTAGAGCTGCACGGTGTCACCCTCCTTGACGAATTCGCGGACAATTTCTCCCTCGTCATTTTCCACAATCAGGACTTCCTCGGGACGGACCATCTTTTCGATCATGACGACTCGCAGATTCGAGAGGATTTCGTTATACTTGTGCTTCCGAAGAGGGTAGTTCATCAGGAGGGTCGGGTTGGGGGCTCCGCTTCCAGACATGCCGCCTCCGACAGCAAGCAGGGGGTTGAGATCGGTAATGGGAAGCTGCTGCATCTCCTCGTAGAGCTCTTGGACAAGCTTCAGCCAGTAGTCGAGGCAGATTTTGAAGACTTCTCGGTCGTCGATCTGCGATATCCTAACGAGATAGTAGTGGCCGTGGAGGAGGTAATCTCTGTTGGGGAGGTTTTCAATGAGCTGCGAGCAAAGTTAGCAAACAAGGAACAACCGAGGGAAGCGCATGAGGTTGGACGCTCGAGCCATCTTACATTCAGATGCATGCCAAAAAAGTTGCACAAGAATAGAGCCAGGTTCTGAACGAACTCCTGGTCCCTGGAGTTGCTGCTCGGGTAGGTCGCCTTGAGATCGAGCGAGACAGGGATGATATCGGCAATCGTCGTCAGGACCTCGGTGAACATCTTGACCAGCTGCTCATCGTACGAGTTGGGCTGTCCAGGTCCGCCCGTCTGAAGACCGCCAATCTCTGTGAGGCACTGTAGAGTGACGTTTCGGAACTCGGGGACCGATAAGAACCGGGTTCGCAAAGTATCGATAAGAGGTGTCTCGAAGATGTAGCCGAGCGGAATCCAGTTGCAGAAACGGAGCAGTGTCTCGAGCGTGGCCTTGATAAGGCTCGGTTGGTTGGCAGAGTTGAGCACTTCCTGGCACAGCTGGAAGATTTGGGAGAACTCGGCGCACATGGTCTGCTTCAGATTCCTCGTCTTGGTGGACGTCATTTGCTCGGCTGAGTAGTCAAAGACCTCCTCGGACAGCAGGCGAAGGATGATCATGTTGTTCTCGCAGATCGAAAGGCTGGAGTGGCAGGACGAAATGATTTCGTTGATGAACGTGGGCCAGTTGTGCGGCCATTCTTGCTTGAGGATCGAGACGAGCACGAGATTGAGCTTGTTGAGGAGCGTCTTCTGGGCCCGTAGGGTTTCTTCGCTGTTCGAGCACTGGATAATGAACTGCACGATGAAGTTTCGGATACCTAGGACCGGCAAACCCGAGCGATTAGCAATGCCCGGTGGGTGGAGAAGTAGCATCGGCGAGGGGGGAGGCTTACCTTGGCACTGCTCCCGAGGCAGAACTTTCCATCTTGTCATGATGACATTGTCGAGAACTTGTAATCCCAAGTCTTTTCCCAGCTGTTAGCCAAAAGAGAACATGCAGCAGACGAAAGTCCCGGGGTAGAAAGCCTAGGCTGCAAAGGCATCGCAACTAGCTTGTTGGTGGCTTGTCGCGCACGCGCGAGGCGTTGGAGGGGGCGGGGGAGCACGTACACTTGGTCTGGGGATACTGCGCGTCGGAGAGGATCTTGTCGACCATGAGCCAGGCATCGGGATCCTCCTTGAACTGTAGTGAACACAAATCGTTAGCCAACGTTTCTCAAGCGTTGTCGAGTGCTGCTGCTGCTGCCGTGCTGCAGAGGATCGGCTGCGCTGAGGTGGGAGGGAGGGAGAGAGAGAGAGTCGAGGAGTATTTACCTGGTTCAAAGCTGCTTGAGCTGCTTTTTGCTACAAGACCAAGCGAGAAAAAGATCAATAGCGTCAGCTTCGATCCAACACAGTTTCCGCCAGAGAAAGACCCAGCTGGCAAAGCGCACATACCTGCTCGCCGCGACCTTCGTAAAAGGCCCGGACCGTGCTGTCGAGCTCCTCAATGGTAGGCATGGTGGGCGAGATACCGGCGAGGCGAGGCGGGGCGAGAGGCGAGAGGGGGGTTGTTTTTTTTTCGAAGGCGGGGAGAGATGGAAGTAAAGGTTGAGATCACGGATCGAGTTTCGATTCAACGAGAGGGACACCAAAGGTCCAGTCCAGGACGACGCAGCGCACAAAATGGGCGGGCTGTGCGGTGCGTCTCGCGGCGGGGTTTTTCTGGGAGGAGGAAGTTCTGTCCTGTTGTTTCTTCTCTCGGCGCGCAAGAAGAAGAAGCTCCGGCAACAGAAAGGTAGAGGAGGGGAGAACGAAGAAGGAAAGAGAGTATGTGAAAGGAAAAAGAGCACGTTCGGGGCGGGTTTCGTGGAAGAAAAGAAAATTGCAGGGAAAACGCAGGTGAGGGAGAGTGAAAAGGACGGGTGGGGAGACGAGAGATGTTAAGCAAAAGAGGTGCAGCGGATCCTTTTACCTGCCCGCCTGGCCTGCTGCTTCGCCTTTGCTGGACCGCCAGATGCGCTAACGGGTGCTGCAGTGGGGGGAGTGCGGAGGCTTTCCAGGCGGCTTCGATGCCTGGGAGCTGCGCTGAAGAGCCCGGGACGGGAAGCTGCTTGCTGAAGCTGGGATCCAGTACTATGACCTCAGCGGACCGGGCAGCTGGAGAGGAGGAAGAGCGCGCGAGAGCCTGAAGATGCTGCTGTCTCGAGGCCACGAGTACATGTATCATGCACGGCAGCTGAAGGAGTGTTCGTGAATCGATCTGATATGGGCATCGACTACATGTACTCGGGGAAACAAGAACAAGCTCCTCCGTTTCCAGGTACCGGCGACAACCACTGATCCATCTGGCACTGGCGGGGCCGAGCTTCATTGCCTCTGCTCCGTGCATCCATCTATCTAGTACGTTCTACCTTAGTAATTCTCCCTCGCCTCTCAGCCTCCTCTCATAGTTGTACATAAGGCAACTCGCCTCGCAATCCACCACTTTTGAAGCTGAGATCACGACGACAGCCTTTGTACCGCTACATGCATAGACTCAGCTCCATCTCAGCTCATTTCCAGCTCCAGCTACATGTATCAACAGCCAACAGGTGCCAGATTGAATCATCCATCCTCCGCAGACGTTGCATCGAACCTCGACCACGGAACTAAACCTACTCCGTTTCGCTCCTATCGCTAGGCCGGAGTTAGCGTTATCATGACGTTTTGCCCATCTTCAATGCCGTCTATATCGTACGGGTTTACTACACTCCAAGTTACTGTAACGGTACATATCTTTTTGTGTGACCACCTCATCCGTCAGCCTTGTCCATGTCCAGTTTTCTTTCCAAATCGCTGTCGAGTCACTTCGGGGTAGTCTGTCTCAGTTAATTGCTACGAGTATTACGGAGTACAAGAACGCTGAAGATGCAATACCCATGCAGGTAGTCTAATAAAGGGCTGAATTTGTATGGTGTTTATATACTAGCAAGTATCTACTAACCGCCTCATCTGTTCTAAGAATATCGCAACGCCACGCATCCTCGACGACCGACAATTGCAACTGTTTTCTTTCCAAAATCACTCGATGTAGCTGTTGTAACACCCAATTCATCCTTTACAGATGAGAGCGCCACCCCCCGCCGGATTCCTATGCTTTACCCGTGTAGCCGCACTCCGCCAGGCTAGTCTTGAGGGCATCGAGAGCCTTGTCGATGTCCGTCCTGCTGGGGTCCATCTATAGCAGCCATTGTCAGTACTTTGCAACTGTTCGGATCTGTGAACGAGCGAGAGAGCTGGGCACTTACAACCGAGACACCCATGTGTCCAAAGCGAATGTACTTGGATGCAATCGCCTTGTGCAAGCCACCAGCAAAGATGACGCCCTTGCTAGACAGCTTGGGCAGGACATCGGGGATCTGAACGCCTTCGGGCAAGTAAATGGCCGTCATGGCGTGCGACTGGTCCTCGGGCTTGGTTGCGACAATCTGCAGTCCGAGGTCGGTGATGGTCTTCTTGATCTTGTCAGACACCTCCTTGTGCCTCTGGAAGCGCTCGGACAGCGGCCGTGCCAGAATCTGCTTCAGGGCAGTGTTCAGAGCACGGACAAGCTGCGGTGACGGGGTGGCAAAGTACGAAGGCTTCTTGGCCTCGTAGTTTTGCATGACTAGGAACACGGCGTGTCAGTATCGTTCCTCCCTAATCTTGGAGAGGGAGAGAGCATGCAAAGGTAAGACATACTGGGTGTCCAGTTCTTCATAGAGGCAAAGTAAGACGCCGGAGGTGCCTTTCGGTTCTTGAACGTCTCCATCGCCCGTCCGCTAAACATCGAGATGGACAATCCCGCAGGGCATCCAATGGCCTTCTGACTGGCAGTAATGACGCCGTCCAAGCCCCAGTCGTCGAACGCAATCTCCTCGCAGGCCACGCTGCAAACGCCATCGGCAATGACCAACGTCTCCGGAGAAACCTTCTTGACCGCCTCGACAACGCCCTTGAGATCGCTCACAACGCCAGTGGAGGTGTCGACGTGGGTGACGGTGACGAGCTTGTACTTCTTTTCCGACAGCGCCTTCTCAATCTCCGAAAACTGGGGTCGTCCGCCAATGGGGCCCTCGAGCTTGGTCGGCTTGGCTCCGTACGTGGCCAGGCAGTCCGCGAAGCTGTCGCCGAAGTAGCCGGTGCTCAGCACCAGGGCCTCCTCGCCGGGCTCAATCAGGTTGGCTGACACCAGGTCCCAGCCAAGAGTGCCAGAGCCGCTGAGGACAAAGGGCTGGGACGCGGGATCGGTGGTCTGGAAGAGCTGGCGGAGCATGCTCAGGGTCTCGCCAAAGGTGGCCACGAAGTCCGGGCCGACATGAGACTCGCTGTGGGAGCCGATTAGCCTTTGATCAGCAGATCTGGGGAAGTGTAGAGCGAGCAATGGTACCTGAAGTGGCTCATCGACTGGAGGACGGCATCGTCAAACTCAATGGGCCCAGGGATGAGCAATGCCGGATGCGCAGCTTGGGAAGACATGGCGGCGATCTGATGCCTCTGTATACGTGATGGCGACTGCGCTTGACGAACGAGAGGCTCGGGATTCCAACGGCGACGCAGAACTGAAAACGAAGACGACGAGCACGCAGGCAGATATGAAGAAGTCAAGGTCGGCCTGGAAGATCTGGGGATGGGGGTGGAGGGGTAATAGCTGGTGGACACTGGCAGCCCTGCGGCCACTGTTTTGCGGGGCAGGCCCCCTAGAGCCCGGCAGACAGAGGCCATGGGGTTTTCAGTGCTTCCCGCTTGAGTGATCGGAAAACCCCCCACTCAAAGGAGCATGGAAGAAGCCGAGGGTCTGGGAAAGGATGATTGTTACTGCTAAAAGGCGGGCATGGGAGGCGAGCAGGGCAATTAAAAAGGACCAATTGTATGTAGTACTTCCAGCAGTCCGGCGCTTGCGCTTCAGCGATTGCCCGATTGCCGGTACCGGTACCGGGGCAACCAGCCTTCCCCGCCGTGGGACGCGGCGAGCTCCGGAGCTGCCTCGGCATTTGAGCCGCTTCTCTCGTTCGACCTCAAGTTCGGTAGACTTTGATATGCATGCAGCCTGGTTGATATTCCATGTCCCTCTAATGTCAATTCAATATCGGATGCTGCATAAACAGCACGCGACTCACTTAAAAGACTTCCTGTCAGCATCACCCTCAACCAGAGCAAAGTACAGTCGAACCGACTTCGGGTTCTTTCGCGGTCCTTCATCGTGACTATCGGCTATAGTTTTAACCGCCGTCTAACAAGAAGCAAATCAAATTGCCAACTTGACTTTTTCACCAGCCGGCATCGACTTTTACATCAAACACGCCAGCTTGCGGCTACTACACAGATCCGAGGATCCCACCTTGACACGCGCCGATGGCCCAACCCAAGTCCACGCCTCCACAAGCCACTCATACCAGACCTTGGTGTCGTCCGTCTGCCTCCACATGCTCACCTCCAGCTCGGTATCCGCAGGGAAGTAGAGCGGCGTCTGTTGTCTGTGTTAGTAACTAATCGGACAGGAAAAGAAGATCGGATCATCTTTCAAACTCACCTTGAGAGGGAAAAAGATGGGAAACCAAGACACCATGTCCTTGCTCTTCTCGCCGATCCGTTCCGGGTGAATGCTCAGCTCCGTCTTCCTGCCCTTGTTGGGGCCAGACTTTTGCTCGTACAGCGTGGATTCAAAGTATCCCGCCAGCCCGTGGGTAACTCCGCGAGTACGCGCAACAAATGTCAGATGGCAGAATCTCGAGTTGTGATCGTTTGCTCCCGCAGCGCCGGCCATGGAGCCTCCCGTGCCGCCGACAACTCCTCCAGAGCGCCGTGCTGAGATGGCCTCGAGTGTCGAGTCGGGGATGGGGTGAGAAAACTCCCATGCCTCCTGGAATCGAGGGTGGCCAGGTACCCTCTGGGCCACAAAGTCCAGTTGATACAGGCTCACCACCCAAGGAGTATCGTAGGCAGTGGCATCAGTCTGAGCTCTTGAGCTGATGTCCGTATACAGCTTCGGCGTGGAGATGGGGCTCAGGTGTGCCGTGTAAGACTGCGGGATTGAGATACCGTGAGGCTTTGCCAAAACATGCTGGATACCGTCCAGACATTCGGGAGAAAGCTCGTTGTCGCCAAAAGAGCCGAGCAACTCGGAGATGAGGATGTCGACTTTGCCATACACTGGCCCAGTCTCGGGAGAATCCGAGATCAGGGGCCCCTTCCAAGCTCGCATGTCCGTCTTGACAACCTTCACCTTGCCCCCCCACTTTAGGGCGTTTTGGCGTAGGAGGTATACATATGCATTGGGATTCTTCTCGACAGCCCATACTTCCACCTCGACGCCAGTTGATTGCGCTGCCTGAATAGCCTTGGTGACGATAGGGCCACGGCCGGAGCCGGCAACTGCCATGACGACAACACCGGGCTTCGAGGTGGGAAGCTTCAGTTCGCTCCAGTCTTTCAAGGCCTCCGCTATGGCCAACTCGTACTGGTCATACTTGATGGCGTCGTTTTCAAAAACCTCGTACGTTGCCGACTCGAGATTGTCCGACAGAGGCTGCAGCGGTGATTGTAGCCAGTCCTGGAAGTTGGTGAGAATAGGCGTCTCTAATGCTGAAAAGGGAGGCTGCTGCGTCTCCAGCCAACGCAAGTACTCGCAGTGAGCACTGGACTCCGTAGACACGCGAAAGGCGGGCTTGTGCGCCTCCTCCAAGCTGGGGAAGTCGGCCTCTGTGATGGTGGGCTTTGCATCCTTGCCGTCTTCGGTGATATGTCCAACATCAGGGCCAACGTCACAGAGTAAAAGCCAAGGGGCATTCTTCAATCGCATGTACGCAAAGATGATATCCTGGTGGTTTTTGGTGAGACTAGGATAGCCCAGCTTGTTGTTCTGAAAAACCTCAGGACCAAAGGTCAGGTAATGAAGAGGTTCAGAGAACCAGCGGTTCTGCAAATCTTTCTCCGGCACGACCCTCGGCATCTTCAGAGCTATGTGGCGAGATGAAAATCAGCACTCGGCATCTCCTCCGATTGTAGCAGAACTCAGTTTCCACTCACCAACGAGAAGCCTGGGGTTGTATTTGCACACCGATCGGATCTGGTGCCAAGAATCCCAAGTCGTAAAGATGTCAGTCTCGCCCTCTGTGGCGTTGGATGCCTCCGCGTTCAACGAAGACAGCGTCTCCGTCTGAGATCCGACAAGAGGTTCCCGGTACATGGGAATATGGATCAAGATGGTGATCGCGGGAGCAATCGTAAGCGCCTCCTGAACAGCCCTCGAATACTGCGCAATCCCCTGGCTTCCCCCCTCCTTGGACGCATCCCGGCAAGGCCCGGTGATGATGATGCTCTTCACGCCGCACCAGCTCGCATAGTTGATCTCGAGGTTGAGCACCTGGCGCGAGATGTTGGCAATGACGGGGTCCTTTGAGCAGAGATCGATCCAGGGGCTTGTGTAGGCGACATAGGTGTTGACTGCCTGAGAGGGGAACATGCCGGTATCTTCTGGCGTGAGAGGCAGAAGAATGGGATCCGCCCGGCTCGCCGTGGCCTCGCTCGTTGCCCTCTCGCCATTTGCTTTGAGCGTTGCCAGATGGTCAGACACAACCTTGAAGACTCTGGACTTGAAGAAGCTGTTGGTGATTGGCGTCGTAGCCACAGAAAACTGCATACACGGTCAGTTCTCCTGGGACAGTCATGCCGTGCCATCAGCTCAAACTTGCATCTTGATTCAGCAGATATCCATACTGCAACTCCGAGAGCGGCGTTTCCCTCTTGGAGTCATGATACCCCAGGGTGAACATGGGGCGATTCTCCCGGAAGTCTCCTCGGAGGGAAAAGCCGCCTGCGTCTGATTCTGAGCCCATTTTTTTGGTGTGCAAAGTCGATCCAAGCGCAATTTCTTCTTGTCCTACCGGGATGTCTTATGTGATGGACGGGCTGTTTGAACAAGGTAGTTGCTCTTTTTTTTTTCTTTTTTCACACCGAAGAAATCCCCCGCTAAAAGATAGGCAGCAAACAGCACGAGATACTGCTCAAGCCGATAATGTCGATTTTTTCTCAACTTCTTGGATGGCCAGAGATGCTCAGCCCCCTCTCACTCAAAGATTGAAAGCTGAACCGCTTGGATTTCATGCGCATCCTTTTTCTCAGTGGAAGCGAGAAGCACAGTGTCATCACAGTGCGTATTTCATCGTCAATCATCATCGTGCCCAAATCCCCTCGCTGTAACTGGCTGCCAAGGCCTCTAGACTATTGATACGGGACTCTTATACCTCTAAACGATTCAACGGTACATGCATTAACATAATAGGAAAACCCATTAACTGAGCCCAATGAACACCCTTCTATCAACCCCACGATCTTATGCTTCAGCGTACAACAGCCAGTGCCAGCTACGTCCCACACAGTGAAGCTAGTCCCTTATCGATAACAACATTTGGCCCGTCCCGCCAAAATTTTCTAAGCCAACCGCAGCCTTAAACTCCAACCCAGCGAAACAATCTAAGCCTTCCGAGACGGTTTTGCGCGGCCTATCAGCACAAGGACAGAAAGTCATACCGAGAGCAGCATGGCCGACAGAGGAGCAAAGCGAGCGAGCGCAGACACGGACGAGCCGTCGAGCAAGAAGACCAAGATGGACGGAAAGGCCAATCCCTACCTCGCCCACATGTACGAGGAGGAGAACGGCTGGGGCAGCGAGCCGTCGCCCAACTCGCCCTTGGCCGGCATGAAGCGTCGCCAGACCACCGCCCAGCAGGCTGCCAAAGCCGAAGACTCCGACACGAATCCCTTCACGGGCCGTCCGCACTCGCAGAGATACTTTCAGATCTTGCAGACGCGGCGAGATCTCCCCGTCCACAAGCAGAGGTTCGTGATGCCACCACACCTTGAAGCGAATCGAACGTTTTAAGAGATGAGAAATTGCTGACTTTGGGCTGCGCCTCGACTCCAGGCAAGAGTTCCTCGACAAGTACCATTCGACCCAGATCCTCGTCTTCGTCGGTGAGACTGGTTCCGGAAAGACGACCCAGATCCCCCAGTACGTCGTGTACGACGAGCTGCCGCACCTCAATGGCAAGCTCATCGCCTGTACGCAGCCCCGTCGAGTCGCCGCCATGTCCGTAGCGCAGCGTGTGGCCGACGAGATGGACGTCAACCTCGGCGAGGAAGTCGGTTACAGCATCCGTTTCGAGGACAAGACGTCGCCCAAGACTATGCTCAAGTACATGACGGACGGTATGCTCCTGCGCGAGGCCATGCACGACCACGAGATGTCGCGATACAGCTGCATCATTCTCGACGAAGCGCACGAGAGAACGCTCGCGACAGACATCCTCATGGCTCTCCTGAAGCAAATCGCAGAGAGGCGTCCAGACCTCAAGATCATCATCATGTCCGCCACGCTCGACGCCCAAAAGTTCCAAAAGTACTTCAACGACGCGCCGCTGCTGGCCGTCCCCGGACGAACGCACCCCGTCGAGATCTTCTACACCCCCGAGCCCGAG